GCTCTGGGCTTCGAGAACAGCAGAACGAATATCGCTCAAACACTCTATGAAATCGTCGCGCTGGTAACCGGCGTGCGGAACGTAGACGGCTATCCATCTGTAGGTGCACCTCCCAATACGTATGTCGCAATGTAGAACTCTGCCCGAAACGGCCTTGCAGTCGAGAGCTTTGTCGACCCAACGGGCGTGGATGAGCAAAGCTACTCCTGCAAATTTCTGTCCACATAAGCTGCTTAACAGCCTGTGTCCCCCTTGCAACAGGACATCCCCATCTGCGGCCCTGGCTTCGTTGAAGCAGATGCAGTCCCAAACGAATTCTCCGCACTCTGCCAAAACCTCTGCAAGTTTGTCATCGCCGTTTAAGCGGGCATTCTTGCAGAACATCCAGAGCGATTGCTCCTGCGCGCAAGCATTGTTGTTCGACCGGGCTGCCTCCTAACGCTTCCGCTTCCCTTTGCCAGCGCCTTTGGTTGGAGGGGCCCTCTCTGCCGGCTTCGCATCGGACTCAAGGCGCAGCTGGTCCAAATCCTCGCGCGAAAATTATTTCTTCCATTCGTCGGCGGTGAACGTAACGACGAGCTTGGCGCCATCAACTTTTGAAGACCAGACTGAATCGAAACCAACTTTCACTCACATTGAGTCTAAATCTGCCCACGCCGACTTGCGGTCGCATCCCCGCTCAGTCATCATGCGCTCGACGCTGAAAAGAAACGACTGGTTCACGCGCACATCCAAAGGAAGATGCGGTTTGGCCCAGACCTTGTGGGAGCCGCGCTGGATGCTTGCCTCCTTGAGGGTCTTCACTGCGATGTCCCGGTCGACTTTAGAAGTAAACTTCCAGAAGTGAATGCCGTTGAACTCGCCCTTGACGTAGTGGTCAACAGAATAAGGTGCCCACTTGCTCCAAAGAGGGTCACCGACCAACTTGAAGGCGTCGTCGGTGTTTCCACAGTCTCTCAGACCGCCGACGACGGCAGTGAGAGAACGTGAACTGTCCACTGATGGGGTCGCTGTCGCAATGGACGTTGCAAGTTTGAAGTTCGCGAGCTCGTCCTCGAATGACTTGATGTGTTCCCAGACTTCTTCCTCCGTCTGGGACCCTGCGCCGGAGCCCCTCGAGTCGGTGGACATTGCATTCTCGATGCTCGTGATGCGGATTTCGATGTCCTCAACACGAGTCTCTGTGGATGCCATTCTCGACTCGAGCGAGCCTCCCAAATCCGACATTGCCCGCTCCAAACCCAACATCGAATTTTGCAGGGGCTGGATCTGTCGATTCATGATTTCCGCAATCTGAGACAAGGTAGGCTGAGATGCTCCAGAGGAACGTTCCTCTGCCAATGCCTCAGGCGGGGTACCTGGAGCTGCCGGTGTAGATATCTGCACCTCCACCGGACGTGGCGGATAGAGATCCATGCCGTCCATTTCGTGAAGTGGACTGAAAAGGCGTTGCCGGACTTCGCGTTCGCCTAGCGCCCCACGCACTGGGGTGCCTGGCTGCCTGATTTGGCGAGGATGAGCTTCTAGAGCGTCAGTGGACTTTCCGCAGCTGCCTCGGACGACTCCGCCGTCTGGATTACGTCATGGTCAGCAGTTGCACATCTTTCCGCAGTGAAAAGCCGACAAACATGCTTGACTTCGATTCAGATCACAGGGCGGCGCAGGTGTGCCTTCAAGCTCCGGCGTTGGCTGGGCAGAGGAGTCGACGGAAGCGCCGGCAGACGCACAAAGACATTGATTGGGAGATGTATGCCACCAAGGTGCCCCAGAAGATCGCTGCTCAGGAGTTCCCCCCGGCTTCTCTGGGCGACGTGGAGCGCGTCGCTCTTCTTGCAGCCGGAGAGTCGCAGCGGCCCCGGTAGCCCGCCCAGCAGAGCAACGGGGGCAGACATCTGGACCGTCTGCGAAGAAGGAGGAGATGCATGACCAACCCGGCCGAGAGACGAGATATCTCAAAGGAGATCTGGAGGCTGAGCCGGAAAGAGTCCCGTGCACGACAGACAGCCAGAACAACTGAGGTGCTCGCTAGCTTCAGTGATCTTCGTCGCCTGGAAGCGCCGCACCGATTCCCTAGCACAAGATCTTCGCAACAGGGTCCAGATGTTCGCAAATGTGCCGACCTTTGTCGGAGATATACACGTCCAGCGCGCCGCCCGACGCGGGCGAGCATGACGAGGACCAGGTGCCAGCCGTTACTGTCGAAGAAGTTGCGAAGGCAGTCGAAGCGATGAGACGACGCAAAGCTGCTGACACGAAGGGCGTGTTGCTGGAGATGTTCCTCTTTGGCGGAGACGATATGCTGCACTACTTGTCTGACATGTTCACTGCAATTTTGCAGAGCGGTTGCCTTCCGGCTGACTGGCGAGAGACCTTCTTCAAACTTTTGCACAAGGGCGGGGACTCCGCAGACCCGAACAATTGGAGGCCGATAGCGATTCTCAGCCTCTCTTACAAGATCCTTGCTCGAGTGGTCTTCCACAGGATACGCGGCGCTCTAGATTCGCAACGGTCTGAAGAGCAATTTGGTTTTCAACGAGACCGGTCGGCTGCTGACGCTCTGATTGTTGCCGAAAGCCTCGTGAGCAAGAGCCTCGAGTTCAACGAAGACCTGTGGCTGGTCAGCGTAGATCTGCGCAAAGCATTTGACAGGGTTGAACAGCCGGCACTGTCCCGCGCTCTCCAAGCGCAGGGACTCCCCTCTGGATATTGCCAAATATTGCGAACGCTGTACAAATCTCAAACAGGTGTCACCCGGTTTCCTATCACCCGGGGTAATGATTTCCGGTTTCCTATCACCCGGGGCGTCAGACAGGGCGACGTACTATCTCCGCTCCTGTTCAACAGTGTCCTGGAAGCTGCTATCCGCGAGTGGAAGGCGAAACTGAACGGCCATGGCCTGGCTGTCTGTTCGGACGGAAGCAAGGAGCGTCTGTCGAACATTCGTTTTGCAGACGATCTGTTACTATTCGCCAGCAGTATGGAAGGGGCTGTGGACATGCTAGACATGCTCACGCAGACGCTTCGCAATTATGGTCTGGAGCTCAACGTGAAGAAAACGAAGATGTTGTCGACGACGGTCACGGAGAATGACACTGTTCTGATCGAAACTGCCGATGGGTTCGTGGAGCTTGTGGCTGCTAACAGAACCCACAAATACCTTGGGAGGGCGTGGCCGGGCAACCTCCGACAACGCGGACAGGCTGCTATCGACCATCGCGTTTGCTGTGCATGGTTGAAATTCCGTTCTCTGCAAACTTCGCTGACGAATAGGCACGTCAACGTCAAGCTGCGTCTGAAGCTCTTCAACGCGACCGTGACACCTACGTTGGTATACGGGCTGGAAACTTGTACGCTGGATCAGAAGCAACTGGACCACCTAGACATTACGCAGAGGAAAATGCTCCGGCGAATCGTCGGCTGGGTGTTCGACGATAGCGATTCGTGGGAAGATGCTGGCCGCAGAATGAAGCAGAGGCTCGAATCTGCCAGGCGCCTGCACTACGTTGCAGATTGGTCTTCGGTTGTATCAAAGCGCAAGAAGCATTTACTGAGTCGTCTGATGTCCCACCATGCTCCGTCGCTGCCTAAACTAGCGCACGAATGGTCCCCTACTGCATGTGCGGCCCTGAACAACAGCCGGCCGCATCGTGCCAGAGGCCGGCCACGGCGTCGTTGGTTTGACGACGTGCAGCTCTGACGGCGCATTTTTGTTCTTTCTCCCGAGCTCTGCACAGGGCCGACTTGTTCGATCGGGCGCAACGCAACGCAACGCAGGATTTCCTCATAATTCGTGCAGAAATCGCGCTGTCGCGTAGGATTTCTTCGCGACGTATTCAAACGCCGCGCCCTCGATGCTCAGGAATCGCACCCTCGCTTTGGCTTTTCTCCAGATGTCCTTGGTAATCGCGATATCGCTCGAGACATCATCGCGATTCATGCAAGACTCATGCTTCAACAACCCGCCTGCTCGATTGGCCATTTGGGCCCACCTTACGACCCGCCCGTTCGGGTCAATCCGCAAAATCAACCCGTCTGGATGTGCCACGCGTTTTCTGCTCCTAGCGCCCCTCATGCTGATCTCTTCCGTGCTCCATCCTTCTCCCTCCCTCTTCCATATGTCATCTCCTCACCTGTTTCAGGAGATGCATCCATCACGCGTGTCAGGCAAGGAAGGCATACCCCCACGCGGGCACGATCAAAGACGAAGAGGACGGGTGTCGAGGTTTTGGGATATAAGTGCTGGAGGCATGAGGAGGGGGTAAGCACGGCCGTTTTGTTTGCCCGCTCCCAGCATGCCCGCGCGGCGATCGCGATGCAGCTGGCGAGTGTACCCACTGGGCTTGGAGTGATTGCCGCTGTCCGCCCCGCCTCGCCCTGCCCGCACGCGCAGGACAACAGCGGGATGCTGGCAACACCAACGTCTGTGCTGTTGTCGTCGTCGCCCCGCTCGCGACCCAGACCGCGACCGACCCGCGAACATCGCGCGACCCGCCCGCGACCCACACGCGACCCACCCGCGAGCACCCCGCGACCCACCCGGGATCCAGCCCGCGGCACACCGGCGACCCGGCGGCGGCCCACCCACGACCCACCCCGCGCCGACTGCCTCACTTTGATCTGAACATGCGGGGCGCTACACCATCAGAACACATGGTTTGGCAACATGACGTTCCAAACATAGTCTGCGCGCGCACTTGCGCACTCGCATGACAACCATAAGCGCTTCAACACTGTGATAGACATTCCTGGCTCTTCCCGATCCTCTCTCCTAGCCCTACTCGATCCTCGATCTCAACAGGCATCAATCATCCTTAGGTTTATCACAGAATGGCTCGCGATCGGTCCCGGGGCCAAGCCGTTCATCCTTGATCCGTTTTGACGGTCCTCGGGCCAGGTGAGAGCCCCCGAATGCATTAAAATCAAACCACATGATCAACCAACAACGAAGGGAATTATGTTTTTGTTTCACGCCGCGAGCATGGCAGAGGTTCGAGGGGCACACGACAACAACAATGCTGACCATCGCGGTGCAGAAGCTCGTCATGCAGACGACGCACTGCCTGCACCTGTGTATGCCCTCGAGGTCCTCCTCGAGGGGCTCCTGCGGCACCAGAGCAGGAAGGAAACGAAGGCGGTGGGAGGCAGGGATCGATGCAGGAGCAACCACAATCGGCATCGAACCCAGAAATCGGATCCGATCGGAAGTTGCGGATCGGGCCACATTTAGGTCGGGCATGTCCTCCGCCAGGCGGATTTTGGACGATAAATTCAAATTCGCCAAACAGAACTCCAAAATTGTCATAAATACTAGAATTGCCCCCAGACTATATTTCTGCACTACTTTTGAATATTCCTCCTGTACAGGGACACGCCCGACTTAAGGCCACGTCTGCAGGTCAGGTAAGGCCAGGTCGAACCTTGCACAAGACGGGCAACACAGGCACACAGTCGGAGTCGGATCAGACCGGCCGCGCCGGGATGTACAACGGCGCCACGCAGGCATCGGGCCACATCGCACTGTCAGAACCGTATCGATCGGACTGAAATGGATCCCAGGAGGGGACGAGGTCGGAAGGAGGGAGGATCACCGTTCGAGGAGGGGTGGCCCACAACGTCCGAAGCATCTTGACGAAGGCAAGCTGCGGATACAATGGGAATATGTTGGAACTGACGGTTCTGAAACATGTGCGCTTTGGAACGCTCAGAAAGCGTTCCGGAACGCTCTAGTTCCGGACCGCTCTAGAACAAGGTCTCCTCCTCCTAGGACCGCTTGGCTCCAACAGTTTGAGAAAACAACTGAAAGTGCTTCACGGCAACTCTCGCTGCCCCTCCTGGGCCTGCATAGGGGGCCATCGAGATGCGTCCGGGATGGAACGGTGGTCCCCGAGCAGGGGGCAACACGACTGGGGCCTCCGACCCGAACAGAGTCACGGCATCGCGGGTGTGGGGACGAGGCGCGACTGCCTAGCAATTCACCCGCACCTGACGCACCCGCAATCGGGGCGTGGGGGGGGGGACGGCTTCCACGTCTGGTTTTTCAACGTCCCACGACGCCCACCCCCGCTGAAGACGGAACGAAGAGGGTACACCGGGCTCCAATGACTTGCTGTCGAACGTCAGCCTGGCCGTGATCCAGCGGCTGAGATCAGCCAGTCAAGTTCCGTGGGACGGTTGGCGGCGCGCGCCAGGGGGCGTGGGGAGGTGGGTGGGCCTCTTAGAAGGCTGCTTCTTCGAAGGCGCGGGCCTCGCATCTGCAGACAGGGCCCGCGCCTTCTGTGAGAAGCACCCGTGCTTCTAAGAAGCCCCTCTCCCCCCCTCGGGGTGGGGCTGTAGAACACATCCCTTCCAGAGCGTCACGGAACGCTCTCAGAGCGTTCCGGAACCCACTGACAAGGCCGCGTCGCCCGATACATCCTCGACAGCCGCCAAATCTCAGAGAACTTATCCTCGTCCTGGTCGCACCCAGATTCATCCTCACCCATATTGAGCCTCGCCCCGGCCTCGTCACAGACCCAGAGTCGCCATGGATACTCACCCAAAGCTTTCCTCGACCTGGCTCTGCCTCAACTCCCCCGTCGAGTCAACCCCCTCTGCGCGTGACAGGAGCGGGATATCTCATGGTTGCCGCTCGCACCCCGCGCGGGAGAGGCCTGGGGGCTCCGCCGCGTCGAGGCGGGGGCGCCACATGGAAGGAGGAGAGGCTCACCATATTGAAGGGGCCCCAGGACACACACACAAATACACACACATAACAAGATTCCCTAGATTTCCCAATCTTTTCTGGGTTGTTGTCTTCCCCCCCACTTCCCTATGTTCCCATATTTTCCGGGGGACCCCCTCCTGACATATGGCACATGGCCCGAGACCTCTTTGGGTGTCCCGGGACGGTGCGGTGGCACGCCGCACAGATGGGCTCGAAGGATCGGGCCCCATCTCCGACGCGTCGGCGATGCGGCTCGATGTAGTGCCCGGTGTTCTCCGCGCGTTGCCGATGCACCTGCGCTGACTACCTACCAGGCCACCCCAACCCAACCCGAAGACCCGAATTTGGGGTTGGGGGGGTACGAGTTCCATATGTGTTTTGTCGATGTTCCCCGACCCCCCCCAACTGGAAATGGAGGGCAAATCGAGACCTTCGGGTTGGGTTGGGGTGGTTTGGGTGGGTGGTGATGCGCTGCGGCGCGATCCTCAGAGCCCCAGCCGTTCGAACCCCGGGTGGGAGGCCTCCCACAGAGCGACAACAACATGCTTGGCCTCAGGGGGCCACGGCACCGTCCGTCACCGCACGGTTTTTGGGACCTCGGAAAGCCCGATCGCCCGAGACGTCCCCGGAGAACGGCCCGTGTCCCAGAGCCGCGCGGCCACCCCGAGTCCCCACGGACTCACCACACCGTGCGGTCACCGCAGCGTTTGGGGTGGCCACCGGCCCGTGCGCGGGCGAGCGGGGGCCCCAGGGACGCGCGGCAGAAACGAGAAGCACCGTGCCCCAGAGTCAGGTCGGGCATGCCCCCCTACGAGGGGATGTTGGGCGAAAAAAATAGCAATACCAACGACGCAAATACACTTAACATGCTCCACGATAAGCAACAACTCGTCCCCAGACTATTGTTTGAGTGTTGTTGAATACTCCTCCTGTGGAGGGACAGGCCCGACTCAACGCCAGAGATCGAAAACGGCCAAACACCTCCCGTCGTGATTGTTTGCCACGGCGCGATCCTACCTGGGAAGACAACCATCGGCGGTGGACAAACCTCCCTTAGTAAACCTCCCTTTGGTGAAAACGGCCTGGGACCAAAACCGACGGACCCGCAGAAAGGACGGCCGCGACGCCCTCTCGCGAACCGAAAACGGCCAATTCGTTAATCGACGTGTCAGGGTATCGGGGGCGCGCAAACATGGATTAGCGATCCATGGATTTGGCGCGCGATCGCCAAATCCATGGATCAGAGGGGTGCCCTCCCGAAAGGGCGGCCGGTAACGCCTCGCTCGGCGGCGGATATCCACGCCTTCCCATGGAAACGAGACCCGTCGCTAATCCACGCCCCCTGAATCCATGTTCGCGATCGCCTGAATCACCGCCCGCCCAACCCTCCCCGCCCGAGAAATCTCCCAATCCCAGGCTCGGGGCGGCACCGTGGCCACCCTCGTGGGTTGCCAGTGAGGGGGCCACAAACGGCGACAGCGGGGCCACGAAGGGCATGCACATAGGGCCACAACGGGCGCGAACGAGCGGGGCCACGAAGAGCATACGCATATTGGGCCGCGGAGGGCAAGGACGGGGCCACGAAGGGCAGCAACGGGGCCACGAAGGGCAGCGAGGGGGCAACGAAGGGCGACAGCGTGGCCAGGAAGGGCATGCATATGGGGCCACCACGGGCGCAAGCGAGCGGGGGCCACGAAGGGCATACATATATGGGGTCACGAAGGGCAAAGAGCGGGCCACGACGGGCTGCAACGGGGCCACGAAGGGGAGCGAGGGGACCACGAATGGCTGCAACGGGGCCGCGAAGGGCTGCAACGGGGCCACGTAGGGCAGCGAGGGGGCCACGAAGGGCTTCAACGGGGCCTCGAAACAAAGCGCGGGGGCCACGAAGGGCTGCAACGGGGCCACGAATGGCAGCGAGGAGGCCACGAAAGGCTGCAACGGGGCCGCGACACAAACGGAGGGGGCCACGAAAGGCTGCCACGGGGCCACGAACCAAAGCGAGATTCCGCTTCATCATATGTAATCTGTGAGGGAGTCCTCAGCGTGAGCGCGACTCCTGGATGCCTGGGTGTCGGGAGCGCGGCGCTTGAGTACATGTTAAAAGATTCCAGCGCAAGGGCGCTATTCGTCAGTAGATCGCAAGCAAATCTCCAGCGAGAGCGCGACACTAGAGCGCCGGGAAAGCGATTCCTGAATCTATTGTAAGGAAGTCCCAAGCGAGAGCGCGATTCCAGAATACAATGCGCGGAAGTCTCGGGCGGGAGCGGGGGTCCTGGCTAAATTGTGAAGAAGTATCCGGCGGGAGCCGTCGTTGTTGTTGCTGCTGCTGCTGTTGTTGTTGTTGTAAACCGGGGGCCAGGGGCCCAGTTTGAGCATCAAGACTTCCCCTGTCAAAAAACAAGGTGCGAGCGTCGAGGGGCACACTTTGATTGAGAACAAACACTATGCACCGTTTGGGGTGATCAACAATAATTATTCTCCAAGAATGAGAGTTCAACAAAAAGACCAACACCAACACAGGCACCAACATCAGCAAAATCAACATCAACAACACCAACAACAACACTCATTTTAAGAGTGTTCGCCCTTATCTGCTCGAGTGTCCAGTAACGCGTATTTCCCGAACCCTCGATACCCACCCTGTTCGTTTTCGATCGAAGCCCTTTTGGCGGGTATACCTTTCTTCCCTGCAGGCCAAGCCCCGGCAAGCGGCGGTGCGGCCGCGGACCGTCGGCATGGCCAGCGGCTGCGCTGATCGGTGGGGCGGCCGCGGACCGTCGACCCGAACCCTGCAGCGACGGACAGGGGACCGACCACGACGACGACGACGACGACGTCGACGTCGACGGCGACGACGACGACGGCGACGACGAGCGAAAGCGAGAGCGAGAGAGAACGACAGTGGGGCCACCAAGGACACGAAGTAGGCCACGAAGGGCGACATCGGGGACACGAAGGGAATGCGTACGTGGCCACGAAGAGCGCGAACGAGCGGGGGCCACGAAGGGCAGAATGCGGGGCCACAGAAGGCAACGATGGGGCCACTGAGGGTAGCAACTGGGCCACGTAGAACAGTGAGGGGGCCACAAACGGCGACAGCGGGGCCACGAAAAGCATGCACATGGGGCAACAACGGGCGCGAACCGGCGGGGGCCACGAAGGGCATACGTATGTTGGGCCGCGGAGGGCGAGGACTGGCCCACTGAGGGCATCAACGGGGCCACGAAGGGCAGCGAGGGGGCCACGAGGGGCGACAGCGTGGCAACGAAGGGCATGCATATGGGGCCACCACAGGAGCGAACGAGCGGGGGCCACGAAGGGCGTACATATATGGGGATACGAAGAGCAGCGACGGGGGCACGAAGGGCTGCAACGGGGTCACGAAGGGCAGCGAG